GATGAACATGAGTTGCCAATGTGATGAAGCAGTTGGCAGAGCCAATCGCACTTTGTGTATCTGTAGGTGCTTCACAAACAGGTCCAGGGAAGTGATTCTCTCCCTCTATGCGACACTGGTCAGACTGCAGCTGGAGTACTGCATTCAGTTCTGGGTGCCACACTTCAGGAAGGATATGGACAGCATGGAGAGGGTCCAGAGGAGGGCCACCCGCATGATCCAGAGACAGCAGGGCAGACCCTATGAAGAGAGGCTATTGGACCTTAACCTGTTCAGCCTTCACAACAGAAGGCTGGGGGGGGGGACCTGGTGGCCATCTATAAACTCACTAGGGGGGACCAGCAGGGTTTGGGAGAGACCTTGTTCCCCCTAGCGCCCCCTGGGGTAACAAGGAATAACAGCCACAACCTGTTAGAGAGTACGTTTAGTCTAGACATCTAAAGGCACTACTTCACTGTCAGGGCGACTAGGATCTGGAACCAACTTCCAAGGGAAGTGGTGCTGGCTCCTACCCTAGGGGTCTTTAAGAGGAGGCTTGACATCTACCTGGTTGGGGTCATTTAAGCCCGGTTTTTCTCCTACCCAGGGCAGGACAAGGTCCCTTCTGACCCTACTTCTATGAATCTATGGATTCGGGCATCAGATGTGACTGGCAAAGTTTGCAGACAACACTAAATTATGTGGGAAGGCAGTCACACTGGAGGACAGGCTAGGGATACAGGTCAACCTGGACATGCTTGCAAAGTGGGCAGACCAAAACTTGATGGCATTCAACATAGAGAAATATAGGGTACTACACCTTGGGAGAAAAAAAACAGCATCATACTTATAGGCTCAGTAGTGCTACTCTTGCTAGTACCTCAACCAAGAGACTTGGGGGTCTTGACTGACCACAAGATGAACATAAGCCACTAATGCAATGCCGTGGCTGGCAAAGCAAACCAAACTCTGGCATGCATCCATTGATGCATCTCAAGCAAAACCAAAGATATCATTCTTCCGCTTTACTCATCCTTAGTGAGGCTGCAGCTGGAGTACTGCATCCAGTTTTGGGGTCCCCACTTCAGGAGGGATGGGGATAAACTCAAGAGTCCAGAGGACAGTCACCCACATGATGAAAGGCCAAGAGAGCAAGACTTACAAGGAGCAGCTGAGGGACATGGGACTCTTCAGCCTGGCAAAGAGGAGGCTCAGGGAGGACTTGGTGGCTACTTATAAGTACATAAGGGGGGTTCATCAGGGCTCCCCAAGGGATAACTAGGTCTAACAGTCACAAACCTCTGGAAGACTGATTCAGACTCAACATAAGGAAAAACATCTTTACAGTCAGAGTGTCCAAGGTCTGGAACAGACTCTCCCCAGAGGTGGTGCAAGCACCTATCTGGACTCTTTCAAAAGGCATTTGATGTTTATCTTGCTGGGATCATTTGATCCCTGCAGACTTCCTGCCTCTGGCAGGGGAGCTGGACTTGATGATCTCACAAAGTCCCTACCAGTATCCAAGGTCTATGAAATCTATTAAATCTACGAAATCTCATGTCTCTGGTCCAACAAGTACCTGTTTATATAAATCTGAACACCTCCAAACAGGAAAGACAGAAGCCCACCTAAAAATATCCATGATCTTGGTGACCTTTGGACACAGAGCTAACACATTCCAGTCTCTGGTCAGAATAGAGACTTGAAGCTGGACACATCCCGGACAATTGTTATAACAATATGTGGGCAAGTGGCTTTTCTAGATTTTACTTAAGTACTTGGTAATGTTTTTGTCTTGTCCTGATGCAGAATGGGGAAATTTTGAAACTGATTTTTTTCTGTGGGATAGGAAAACTGCCTGCTCTAATCACAGTGCAGTGAGGCTCTCTCCCTGGGAAGTGAGCATCTGCTCCCACCTCCAGATATGGGCCAGCAACACAGTCCAGTAAGCAAGGCTGATCAGTCTGAGGCCTCTCCTCCTCCTCACACTTTTTTCAACATCGTGCTTCCCAAGGCACAGTAAAGGCACGAACTTTTCATGAAGACCTTTGTGCTTTCTTGTACTACTTGCCTGAGCTTGCAGGGCCAGTCATAAATTGGTCCTCTATGTATAAACCCCTACTCTAGCATTTTGATTTTAACTGTATACATGACATTATCATGACAGTGAAGTATGTGATATTGTAGTCCATGCTTCCTGATGTTTCTTTTTCACTGGGAGGGACATTTTTTTTTTTTTTTTTTACTATGGTCCCTGTGTACAAAGGCCAGAAATAACATGCAGTGTGCAGCAGAGAATTCCATGACTCAGGCACTTCGATACCTCAGACACCCATGAGCTAACCTACATGTGTCCCTTCTCAAGTCCTGGCAAGGCTGGAAGTATGTTCTGCACAACACAAAGTGCCTGTAGGCAATTCACATTGGGTTGGTATAACTTAGAGCATCTCTCTGTGCTACCTAACTTATACTATTTCAGCCCCTACCCCTTCCCACAATTTAATCCTAAAGCCCCAAAGCATATCAAAGCCACAATTGGCTTACTATCTTCAAACTCTGTGGGGGGTATGCTGTGCCTCCTAGAGGCACAGATCAGAATCTCACTTTCTGGGGGGAGGGCAGGAGGATGGAGAAAATTAAATACATTTTGATAATGCTCATGAAAACCAGAAAGATAATGACTACTCTAGACAGTGCTGGCAGTCATTGTACAAACTTCCCCACGCAACACTGCCAATCTATCTCACTCCTGACTGTGACACACCTGCTTGCTAAGAGCTGTGCTTCAGTTTGCATTATATTATTGGCTGCCTATTGTACCAAATGCTTGTTACTGTGCTACTTTATATTCTGAATTGAAATGTGCTGTGGAGTGGAATCAAACCACCACATTCCCTTCACTTGCAAATATAAACAGCCAGATTGAGACCTGTGGCTCCAAATGTAAAGAACTAATGCATTAAGCTGTGGTTTAACTCCTTCATTGTTCTTCTACATGTTAAATAAAAAACCTGAAGATACACACTTCTCCTCTTGTAACCCCAGAAGTGATTTAAAGAACAACATCAAGGGTATAATTGTAGAAGAATTCAGTTAGAAAATGGATTGTAAGCAAATATTTTATTTTAGTATTACTATGTAATAAATATTTATATAAACAGTGGTCATACAGTATAATTTTAAAGAACAAAAACAGCAGACCCACTGTTGTAGGAAGGTTTTGATGGCCTAAAATTAAAACAATATCCCATGCCATGACAATTTATGTTTTCATTTATAAAACCACTCTTCTTATTAACTTTCAATCTTATTTACTGGGGGTAAGCAAGAACACACCAAACAGGAACAAAAGCATACAAAATCATGTCCTGTGGACCTCAGGATTATGGCCCAAGGGACACATTTATTACTATTGTTGTAGAGCACGTGATAGGTTTAAAATGGTCCCATATTTCAAGAGCAATGGGGAGGGTAAGACAAGACTACTTAACATGACTGCAGTTCCTAATGTAAAAGTGTCAGTGTGCTGAGTATATTCATAATGTGTTTATTCTCATTACAGTTTTCAATTTGTCAGTACTTTACTGGCATGCAACCACAAAGCATGGACTGCTGTTGCTGCTTAACCTTGTTATTGCAGACAAGTTACAAGTCCTGACAAGAGTTTGATAACTGTGCCTACTTATTGTAAGCCATAGATGAGGAAAGGGTAGGAGGTTCAAAGTAAGCCATGCTTTCCTGTATAAGTTCCCATATAATCATTCAAAATTACCGTAAATATAATAGCAGAAGTGCTTGACTGTCATTTTGTTATTATAACATGAGGTGAGAAGGTAATAAAAATTGAATCGGATGTGATGCTGCAGTATAATATACGGTATTTAGGTCCTGCAAATGTATAAACACATATGTGGCTTTCTTCAAGTGTTTGCAGGACCAAGACTCATTTATTCATATAATCTTTCCTGGAAATGTCCAGAACATGACCATCTGATAACAGGTTGGCAGGTGGGGAGTATGCAAAAAATCTTTACTCCTCTTACTCACTGCCTGTTTCTTTTTTCCATCCACCTGTTGCATCCTGTCCTGAACTTGCATTGTAAATCTCTGGGACATCACTTCTTTTTTCATTAATTTTTCTTATTTAAAAAAAAGGCAGTGATGAAGTTCTGATTCTCCATTGAGGTCAGAAGCAACTATAATGTAAATATTATTTGACTAAAAGCTTTAAACAGTTTAAAAACCCAAGAAGAGACGGTAAGTGGTTTAGTCTATTCCTTTTGAGCAGGCCATGTGCACTTTAATACAATACCCACCACTTATTGGGCTTACTGGGCAGTTGGCTAGCAATGGCTAGTATTAGCAGTCCAAATGATAAGAACTACTGAGTCTGCATGACATAGACAATGTACATGTCACAGCAGAAACACTGACTGTGTTTGAATTATCATTCAGAGCTATGGAGATTGAAGTAATCAGCCATATCTGCTGGAGATAAATGGCTCTTTGCATTAGGGGTCTGCAAATAAAGCACAAAGGGCAACACTTTGAAATGTAGAAAGATAGCCCCCTCAAAAGACACGTCCTGATTTCCAGAGGTGTTGAGCACTAATAGTTCTTATTTGCCTTAAGAACTGTTACAGCACTTCAAATAAAAGTATAAATTTTCCTAATTTTTGAAAGTATAATGTTTGCCATCTAAGTTTTAAAATGCTGACTATAACCAAAGTATTTTAGGTCCCAGTAATTGCCAGTGAAATGCAAAGAGTGCAAGATCAGCCCTCAACTACCTCCTGCAAAAGATCATTTGTGCATCATTTCCGGGTTCAATCAGGGTACTAAGAGAAGCAGTGTAGCCATATACTGAGCTAGGTAGTGTGATCTTGCTTATTACTATAGACCTATGCTCATTATTGCCTCCCTAACATGAAAAGTGAGCATATGGGAGGTAAATGGTCAGGGTTCCCATTCTAATGTAGCTATTTTTGCATATGTTTGAAGCTCCTGCCCCTTCACCCCAAGAGGAACAACTACTCCCATGAAGTTTGCCGGACAGATGCAACATTTTATCCATTGATTTTGGAGAGCATTATGATCAATGATACCAAACAACAGAATGAGAGTTAGCTGATAAAGGCAGGGGGCTTCAGACTCTCCTGAAAGAAAGAAAAACTTATTCTCACACATCCTTATTGTTCCATATGGAGGAGAGAGACAGTGAATTCCTCTCACTTCACACTGAAAAGACTGATTTACAAAAGAGCAAATACCTATATTATCAGATATTTATAGGGTTTTAGTCATGAGATTTGATATTAAAAGTCAATGGACACTACTCAGTTAACAAGTTTTAATACTCATCGGAATGGTTTAAAAGGATAAATATCTAGTGTGATGATATTTATGTGACTAGCCCCTTTCTTTAGTTGTACAAACAGATTTAAATCTATATTTACAGATCAACCAATTAGAATTAAGTCACTTCCTCCTCACAAATCTATTTTAACTATCTATTTTTAAACTTATAATATAATCAAAGTTTCCCAACTTGATGATCTTTATTTCTGCACCTATACAATGTAGTTCTATGGGTAGGGGAAACATTCAATGACTTCAGAGTTTTACTTGTGAAGACCTATTGTATCAGTTCTTACATTTTTAAAATGGCAAAAAATTTAGTGCTGCAACTAAGGTTGGGACATACAGAAGGGGTGCAAAAATGGTGGCAACTGCTACTGCTGTTGGTCTGACCTAGCCTGGCTACTGCCACTGCTGCCACCCTGATTGTTATGCCTCTGAATAAAATCCTCTCCTGTTTCTAAAATTTAGTTTATGATAAAAAAAGCCATCTAAACTGAGATGTTTGCTACCAATATACTGTTTTTTATAGCTGAGTGACAAACCCCCTAATGAGAGCTCTGGATTAGGAGCCCTGTAACAGCATTTATAGTAACAAGAACGTGTACATCAGTTTCAGATGCTGACCTTGTAACTAACACATTTTCTGGGAAAATCAAATGCTTTTCATTATTACATCTAATTTCTGCCCCACATTCAAACCATTTCTAAACTCAACTTATGGAGGCTTACGTTCATGTGTAAACAGAATATTTCTTTATGAATCATACAAGGATGTCAGCACCTTGAGTCTTGTGTAAAGTTCACAGACTTGAGAAAACTAAACCTTAAGGGACTTTTTGTTGGGGCTGTAAGAGCACAGTGACACATTTAAATTGATTTCATTTATGCCTTATGCACAAGGAGACTTATTTTTACTCTCCAATATGCCTCAGTATCAGAGGTGAAACTTTCGGAGCAATCAGCAATAAATAGGAGCCATGTACATTCTATCATAAGAAATACACTCCAGTAAATAATCACCACCCTTTAGTAAATAATCACTATCAAGCACTGAACAAAGCTAATTCTTCTTTCAGTTAAGTGGCTTACCATTCATAGCAGCTTCATCAACTTCACTGCACTACTCTAGACTCAAGGTCTGTGTAACTGAAACTAGTCTTTGGGCTGACAGACTTATGTATAAAGTGTTTGGATAGGGAAAAAAAAGTAGTTAAGATTTATTAAAGCAACAGGTATAGTGGAACTTAATAACAGACACGAGCGTTTTTGTGCAGTACAGTGCAACATGATCCATCATATTTTCCATTCTCTTTCAGTGGTTCTGGCTGAAAACCATACTTGAAAAAGGATAGCTGTGCTTTCATCTCAGTCAACAGAAATTGACAGTCAGGAAGACAGACACAGGATTGGAACCCACAATCCTTCATAGCTCCTAGGAGTGAAAAAACAATCATGTATTTTCATGGTACAGTATCTAGTTATAATCTTTGTAACTCTCCTCAAATAATCAAGATCACTGCTTGTATATAAGCTACAACTTTCCAACATAACTGGAAAGTCCGAGATGTCAGACTGACTATGCATCTTACATCTTGCAAGTGAATGTGCCATGCAGACTGACAAAAATTGTATCCAGGGACTTAGCTATACAAAGAATTGGGAAGCACTGGCAAAAACATCAATCCTCTCCCAACCATGCCAACTGGCTGATACCAATCCAATAGCCAATATGCAGCCTTGCAGCTTGGAGATCAGCATCTGGTGAGCAAGTCTGCACAGGGGAAGGGGCACAGGGAAGGAAAGGGGCATGCGGGGGCAGATACAGACCCCCATGGTGAGGGAGGGGATGGGGCTGAGGCAGGTGCTGCCCAGCCAGGGCAGGGCAGAGCGTGGGATGGAGCCGTGGGCAGTTCATTCATGGGGCACAGAGGGGTGGGAAGGGGGGGTGGCTCCCACTGTTGTACACAGCCTTGGGGTGATATGGGAGGCATGTGCCCCCTGTATTTGTGTGTGGGGTGAGGGCAGGCTGCCCTCTGCAGGCTTGGAGACAAGGGTGGGGGCACGGAGCTGGGCCACGGCTGTGCTTGGGGCAGGCAGGGTGGGTAGTGGCGGTGCTGGGATGGGGAATATAGTGGGGTTTAGGGAATTTTGGGGTGGCTGTAGCCCACCCCATAGCCCCCCTTCCCAGTGCTGCCACTGCCTGCCCCACCCCTGCACACCCTGACCGCAGCCCCAGACCAGTCCCCCTGCTGGGAAGACTGGTGCAGCCCCTGGCCCCAAGTCTGCAGTGGGCAACCTGCCCTTACCCTGAGCACAGATCTGGAGGGCACATGCCTCTCCCGTACCTCCCTTGGGGTTGCACACAGCAGTAAGGAGCTGTCCCCCATCTCCCTGCCCCCTCCAGATGAGCCACCTGCAGCTCTGTCTTGCGCCCTGTCCCAGCTGGGCAGCACCAGCACCTGCCCCACTCCTCTCTTCACCATGGGGGCCTTGATCTGACCCCTCCCCCTTCACCCCACAGACTTACCAACCAGATGCTGGTCTGCATTCCTGGCCTTGTGTATGCTGCATCTGTGTGCCTTCATGCAGCATTTATTGGTGACATTATCAGCTACACTGGCCAAAAAAAGCTAATTGCCGATTATATCAATTTTCCTTTTACATGTGCCAATCTGATATGGACCAATATATTGGTGTGCCTCTAGTTTTCAGAGGCTTTGAACTGTGAAACACCCACCCTTCTATGAGATTAAAATGATGACTATCCCTTTGCTCGAGGAAAGAAGTAGCATAAAATGCTGTTGAAAAAATATCATTCCATATTTACAAGTCTCATAGATCTGAAAAGACTGAAGGAAAGACCATAAATTCAAGAAAGAAGAGATGAGTAAAAACTTGCCTAAATAATTTACATTCCTCTTTTATAATCAACACCTCATGGAGGTGAGTGAGGCTGAAGTGGGATAATGTAGACAGTAAACTGGAAGAAGGGAAGACTCTAATGGATAAAACAGAGGACTAGAAATCTGGAGAACTGCAGTCTGGTCTCATCAGTGGTTGACCTGCTGAGATTATGTTATAGGTGTTTTACATGTGCTCTGGGGGTGGGGGAGGTGTCTTTAATTACACTGGCTCTGAGAACCACTCTAACTAAAACGCCTGCAGCATCTCATGCATCAGTGTCCCCGTGCTTCATGTGACAAGCTTTAGTTAAAGCACCACTGCCACCATTGTGAAGCACAGGGACACTGGTACACGGGATCCAGAGACTGCTGGTGGTACGCTGACTAGCATGCTCCAACAGACTCAATTAATGAAATCTGCTTCAACACGCAAAGCATCAAAGAAGCCTCCCTACATATCTGCAGACACCCTACAGTTCCTTTTTACATTTAGTGCTAAGTCTTGTTTAAGTAACATGTATAATGCTATAGCACTATACATTTTCCTACTTTTGATGGATAGGATTGCAAAGGAAATGCAGTTAATAACCATGAACTGAGGGTAAACTAATGCAGCAATGCCTTCCAGCATTTGCAAAGAGCCTGCCCCATTTACTTCAATAAGCTGTTACCCAAGATAGTCCATCAGGATATTTTAAAGGGCAACATTGGTAGCAATATCATTGCTGACAAAAGCATAAGAGGGTTATTAAAACTGGCACAAGTACATTATTTCCCTGACTGAACGTAGCTGAGAGCAATAGGAATAAAGCTGCTGATGCTAGAATACTAGGAATAACATCATTAGAGCATGTGATTCATCAGTCAACTCTTCAACTGAGCCCAAACATTGGAGGTTCTAAAAAAGGAGCAGTAGCATGTTTTTTAAAAAATCTATTGCTTCTGTAATTATTTTTTAAAATCCAGATCACAAAGAAGAAACATTAAAATACTAAGAGAAATGTGTAGCCTTATTGAGTTGGATGGAAAAAAGAACTAAGGAATTTACAAAGAAAAGGTTTTTGAAAGTTTTTGCAAAACAAATAGGTTGTGAGGAACATGCATTCCGAGTATTATTGTTGAACATTTGAGATTTTGCTCAGTTTCTATTAGTATATTGTTTAGGGCCTGATCCTGCACCCACTATAGTCAATAATATTTCTGTGTCACACATCTGGGGACTCAATTTTGCTCCACTGAAGACAATGGAAACTTTGTAACTAATTTAAATGGGAGCAGCATCTGCACCCAGATGTAGAAACAAAATTAAAATGAAGCTCCTTCATTTTTATCATGATAAAAACACTCCCAAGGATGTCAATAAGTCCCTCCTCCCCCCCCCCTTTTTAAAAGCGGCTTCATCTCTCAAATACATAGGAGCAAATTCTGCCCTCAGATATGTCCTTCTATCCACTGGTGTAAATCAACAGAAAATCCCGATGCTAAGAGAGTTATGATGGTGAGAGTGCAGAATTAGGTCCACAGTTATTGCAACATTTCAGCTAAGCTGCATCTTTGAGGCACAATCCATGGTAGGATGACATGTAAAGGCATGCAACACCAGTGGGAGCTCTTGTAGGTCAATACTGAGACCACTTTTTAATGGCATTGCAGCTACTCTCTGCTCCAGCCAAACGCTTCCCTGGGAATATTCCCAGTGTAAAGAGTGTCCAGAGGTGGCAGCGGCAGCCCAGTCATGCCGAAGATAATTCTTTCATTACAGGAAGTATGAGTACTATTAGTCATTTCTACTCTTGTTCTCTTTCCCCTAGCTTTTAAAAGCCTCTGAATCCAAGGCAACACTCGTAAAATAGTTTTTTAGACTATCCTGAACATTCAGGGGCCAACAAGGACCCAAGAAATCTCAAGATTGGGAGACAAACTGTCTCTTTGGGTGTGGATTTATAGTGCCTTAAACAATGTCCTGAGCTACAAACTCCTAGTGCATCTTTTGGGAATCTGTTCTAAGGCACACTAGTGTGCTGTGAGATTGATATTTCGTCTAAGGACATAGGCAGCCAAGGTTCTTTGGGTAAACGTGATATCTTTTATTAGGCCAACTAAATAGTTGGAAAAATTGTTCTTTACAAGGTTTTGGGCACAAGCACGCTTCTTTAAGCATTTTTGTTCCTGAAAGCTTGCAAAAACCAATTTTTCCAACTATTTAGGTGGTCTAATAAAAGATATCACATTTACCCAACGAACCTTGTCTGCCAGTGAGATCAATGGAAGCATACTATAAGATTCCCTTGTGTGAAGAGATAAAATGCTCTCCTCCCCCATCTGGTATGCTGTGCCTGCCCCAGCTACTCCAGCAGTCTGTGGCTGCTCCTCTGGGGACTACCACCACTGCTTCTGCCTTCTCCAGACCCAGGCATCCCTTGTGCTGACCACACCCCACTCCATGCTCCCAGCAGTACCCTGTGCTGCAAGCAGGCAGACGCACAGGTGGATCCAGGCTTTGCTGCCCAGCTTGCCTGCTCCAGTCTTCCCAGGGCCAACAGAAGGGGCCATGGAGGTAGTTTCTGGCATTTAAGACTCTTCTGGAGCAGTCTCAGCAGCAGGGATACCCTTGCCCTAAGGTACAGCCCAGGGGTCAGGTAGAGACAAACAGTGGAAAAAGCAAGGCACAACAGGGTGAAATCCTACCCCTGCTATGCCTGACACTAGCTAAATTAGCAATTTTTTTTTTTTTTGCTTCAAGGCCCCCTTCCATAACTTTTTTGAATTTAGATCATGTGATTTTCAAATATCTATCTATCATAGAATCATAGAAAATTAGGGTTGGAAGGGACCTCAGGAGGTCACCTAGTCCACCCCGCTGCTCAAAGCAGGACTATACCCAACTAGATCATCCCAGCCAAAGCTTTGTCTAGCCAGGTTTTAAAAACCTCTAAGGATGAAGATTTCATCACCTCTCTGGGTAACCTATTCCAGTGTTTAACTACCCTCCTAGTGAGAAAATTCTTCCTAATATCTAATCTAAACTTCCCTTGCTGCAACTTGAGACCATTACTCCTTGCTCTGTCATCTGCCACCACTGAGAACAGTCTAGCTCCATTCTCTTTCAAACCCTGCTTCAGGTAGTTGAAGGCTGCTATTAAATCTCCTATCAGTCTCCTCTTCTCTAGACTAAATAAGCCCAGTTCCCTTGGTCCTTCCTCAGAAGTCATGTCCCCCAGCCCTTGAACCATTTTTGTTGTCCTCCATTGGATCCTCTCCAGTTTGTCCACATCCTTTCTGTAGCGGGGGGGGGCCCAAAACTGAACACAGTACTCCAGATGTGGCCTCACCAGTGCTAAATAAAGAAGAAGAATCACTTCCCTTGACCTGCTGGCAACACTCCTAGTATGCCATTAACCTTCTTTGCAACAAGGACACACTATTGCTTCATATTTAGCTTATTGTCCACTGTAACCCCTAGGTCCTTTTCTGCAGAGCTGAGGCCCAGCCAGTCAGCCCCCAGCCTGTACTGGCGCATGGGATTGTT